TCTTTGAAAATCTTCTTCTTAAGAACCACTGGGCCAGGAAAGCTGAAACTCATGTGGAATCATCCTCAGATAGTGTAGATTCAAGTTTGTTCAAATCATGACCCCTCGGGCTAGGATGGGGCCAAAATGGCCGATCAAAAGTTTACATAGGAGTATATAGGAAAAATCTTCTTTTCAAGAACCACTGGGCCAGGAAAGATGAAACTAATGTGGAATCATCCTCAGATAGTGTAAATTCAAGTTTGTTCAAATCATGACCCCAGGGGGTAGGGATTAGCAAATATGGCCGATCAAAGTTTTACATAGGAATATATAGGAAAAATCTTTAAAAATCTTCTTCTCAAGAACCATTGAGACAGGAAAGATGAAACTCGTGTGAAATTATTCTCAGGTAGTATAGATTCATGTTTGTTCAAATCATGACCCCCATGGCTAGGGTGGGGCCAAAATGGCCGACCAAAGTTTTACATTGGAATATATAGTGAAATCTTTTTAAATCTTCTTTTCAAGTACTACAAAGCCATGATTAGTAATATTTATATGGAATCATCCTCAGGTAGTGTAGATTCTAGTTCGTTCAAATCATGATCCCATGGGGTGTTAAAATTCAAGCCCCCCCCCCCCCCAACCAACCTCAGTAAACTTTAAGTTCTGATCTGATATGTGCTTTTTCCTAGCCGATGTGCTCAGGTGAGCGCTGTGGCCCCTGGGCCTCTTGTTTTTCCTCTTGTATTTGACTACAAATAGTTCTGTCTACTTAATACATAAGGCTTACCACAGGTGTGACATGGGATGCCTGCTCCTCTAAGGCACCTGATCCCACCTTTGGAATTTCCAGGGGTCCATGTTTTATACCATGTAGATATCTTGCATATTTTATAGGGTGAGGTATTGAATGCAAAGTATTTTTAATATGATTTTGAAATTGGCCTCAGATTGTAGCTCATCTATTATATGTCTCTTTGTTAACTTTATCCTTAACAAATATCTTTAAAGAGATGCAGGTTAATATCTTTTTCCCTTGTAGGTTAAAACAGATTTTTCAAAGAATAACCTTGTGATGCAACTAATTTATGTAAAATAAAATGTCCCACACTACCCAGCCGAAGACCGGAAATATACCACACCATTTAGATTTACTGAAGAGGATAGGAACAAAAAACTAAAAAGGGGTTTCCGTTCAGATAAAATTACCCGTAATAATGAGAGCATTGTGTCAATTGGTTATTCTTTTGTTACATTCGGCTTTAAGAGTGGATTCACCATGTTTGCAAAGAAAACCTACAGCAAACAGTCCGTAAATGGTTGTGTGGAATCATTCAGTTTCAATTCATTGACAAGTGTTTGCTGGGCTTCTAGCCTCTATTAAATCTCCTTAATCTTGTAGGCTCGGAAATTTGATTATTGGTGGTTAGAAACATCTTCACCAGTGAAGAAAATATAGATTTAAAGGTCAATATTTCATTTCCCTTGACATTGATAATGCTTAGTCAATCATCAAGTCTTAATAACAAAGAAAATATGATGGTCTTCGTGAAGTAATAATTTCAGCAGAAAGGCTTAGAGCTTTGATACAAATTTTGAGTAATAGTTTTATTATATCATAGAGAAGCTACATATTGTACATTACCAAAATTACAACTCATTATTTTTGTGCAATATTTATTACGTTTTTTTGTGCAATATTTATTAGGTTTTTATAAGGGAGACAAATTTTCACAATTTCTGATTATTATTGTGTAGGAACAAAGGTATTATGTATGCTAATGACATTTTCAAGAGCGAGAGGCTCTCAAATTTGTGTAAAAAAGTTCTCTTGGATAAAAGTACATGATTTTCAGCCCATTTATAAATTGATGAGGCTTGTTGAATCATAATATAATTTCTCGGTGATATGTGAAGTGAAAAGAAGACGTATTTTGAACTTTTTGTAGGACCCATTAAATAAGGCTGTGTCCATTGCAGTCCTACATCTTGATGCTTTATGAGATACAAGGTGACTTGATGTATTGTTTTTAGGGTAAAGTGTTTTAACCACGAGTTAAAGGAATTCCACAGAATGCAGTTGTTAATGGTGGGGAATGGCTTGACATGACAGAGGGGTGATGTTTGCCATTAATAATGATCTGGCCTCAGTTGTCCTGTGCTCTTTTTATACACTGACTGACAGATGGACAGTCCAGGACCTAGCTAACTGATTTAAGTGACAGTTATGACTGGAAGTGAAGTAATGTTCATTTACCAGACAGACATAGCTGACCGGCTCACTGTCCGAGTTCTGGAAGAACACCTGAGTGACAGTCCTACATAGATTCCATTAGTTCCTCATATCTACGTTTGTCTATGAAATATTAAATTTTTACTATTTTTTATCCATGCTTTCTTAAAAAGTCAGAATAATTTGTTTCTTCACATTTTCTTTATGGAATTCTGGTCAGGAAAAAATATTGGGCCATGGGCACACAATTTTGCTTCAGTTTCCAATGCAAGGACAAAGGAATGGTTCATTTAAAGACTTATAATATGTATATATATTGGAACCATATGGTACCAATCCCTTTCTCTACCCTTTTTTTAATGCAGATATAGGACAATTAATACCTTTGTTAATCCAATGCAGAAGTAGTTTAAATTTCCCTGAGACTTGGACCAATAATAAAGGTCATGGCATAGGAATGAAATGATTATGATGCATATTGTCAGGTACAAAACTGAAATATGTAGGTCCAAGTGTCAATTCACCCCAAGCACAAAGGTTTGTGTGCTTTGTCATGTCAAAATACAATCATAGATTCATACTTGGTCAAAGACTTTTGCAGCATAATTTTTACCTGGCCAGATTGTGGAAGGGGTCAGTTGAAAATGTAAGGTTCACAACTATGTAGCTCTTTAATGCAGGGTCTTTAAATGTTAGGTTATAAAAGTTATTAGTCATTGATGAAGATCACTTTAAAAAAGGTAAAGATCAGATAAATGTAGGTAAAAGATTCTTCCTTAGGTTAAAACTCTGCAGTGCATGGATTAATTTGACTCATATGATATATAGCATATCAATTTGCAGTCAACCAAGAGCAAAAATTGTTTATGGTTGATATATAAATGAGTTGTTAGGTTCTGTAATATTTCATGCACACCCCATTTAAAGTTTGCCCCATTAGGGAGGGTATTGAGGGTTATTCAGTCCCAAACTTCTCAAGTGTAATTTGCATTGTTATGGAAGGTCGGCAACCGTGATTTAGATAGATTTTTTAAGTTTCTGCAGGTGAAATAGTTACTTGTAACTTCAGTAATATTTATTTATTATTTGCTCAGCACAGCGTCTATAGTTAATTATTGCTTGTGTATTGGTTTCGTACTTACAGCAATTGCACATCCTGCCCAGCCTCATTTCTGATCATCACTCACCATCCTCAACCTCTGGTTTTTTTTGCTTCACTCTCATGGCCCAGAGTTTTTAGCTCACAATCAGGAGTATTCTTAGGTAGTGTAGAGTGTAGATTCAAGTCTGTTTCAAACATGACCAGGAGTTTTTTTTTTGGGGGGGGGGGGGGGGATAGGACAACCTGGGATCAAAATTTTAAAAATTGGAGAGAAAAAAATTAAAAATCTTTTGAAGAATAGTAGAGGTATGATTTATCATTAACATTGAAGATCCTAAGGTAGTGTAGTTTAAATTTTGTTCATATCGTGGCCATTTAGGGGTAGTGCAGGGTCTAAATAGGGGATCTAAGTTTTATGCGGGAATATATACTGTACACAGGGTTATTTTCGCCCCGTCTTATTTTCGCCCTTTCACACTTGCAAACAATTTTGCCCTGTTTTAAATTCGCCCAGTCATAGTTTTGTTTAAGAAATTATACTGAATTCTTTGAATTCATCCCGTTTTAAATTCGCCCAAATGAGAGTAGGGCGAAAGGGGCAAAAATAAAATGGGGGCAAAAATTTCCCTGTATACAGTAGGTTATCTCTCTTAAAATCTTCTCAAGAATTGCAAAGCCATGATTATATATCATATTGATATAGAATTTTACATGAAAATGCCTTATTCTGTCTGGGCAGAATTTTTTGAAAGGATTCCATTTTTGCATTTTTAAAGGTTCTGAGATCACTGTAAAATTGAATATCACTTAAAACTTATTCCATATCCATTATTATAGTGATCTCTCTTGGCATCATTAAATCTCTAAAATTACTTCTCACTAAAAATGTTTGGATAAAATGATAAATTTGTGTCTAGCTAAAATTTACTTTTATATGGTATGTAGGAAAACATATCTGCTGATAAAGAAGGATCATAGTTACTCTGAGCATGTAGGCCCAAAGACCTCTATTTATGTATGTTTTTTCAACTCCAAATTGCAAATATAATGTAATGAATTATGGATATAGTGAAGTATGAATGTACTGGCTGTAGGACTTTGCTATAACCAAGTTCTACTGTAAATACTGTCAAAATTCACAAAACCTTGCTACATTCAGTTAAATATGAAGTTTTAGAAGAAATAGCAGACTTGCACTCTTTAGATAATACTGTATATATTAATTATTAATATTAAATTAAGGGCACAATCAGATAAAATGGCTGAAAATTAAAATAAACATTTTCAAAATATTTTTCATGATTTTGCTCTGATTTATTACATATTAATTATTACAATAACGTTAAAGAACTTAAAGTGCGCAATTTCAAGAATAATTACATTACATTAAAATTTATAAAGAATTTTAAGATTGTTATCTTCTTGTATGAACTTTTTTTTTCAATTTTATCATAATTGCATGTTATGATGACCTCTTTTTGCAGACATAAAATTGTTATCAAAAATCTTTTGAATTTTAATATGCAAATTGATATACCAGTACTCTTCATAAAAATATTTTCTTTTTTATCCTTTAAATCACATAGTCCCCACAAAAAAATAGATTTTGCACGTAGTCAGCCAGACAAAAAATTAAAGGGGAAAAGTCATTCATAACATCATCAAAATTTACATTTGGAGCAGAAAACATTTGGATGCCATGCAGGGGTGACTAGGATCAAGTTTCAGATCATGTAAGCAGAAACCCAAGATAGTGACTATGAATCGCTTCCATTCACAAGAAAAATGTTAACGTTCAACTTCGGTATTTCCTGCAAAGAAGGCATGTAAAGGGATTCCTATTTAAGCGGGACCCATTTACGTGAGGTTTTTTTTGTGTATGGTGTGTCTATTCAAAAATGAGTTTGAATGCATTGTGGAGTGGTGAATATGCTTGAGTGAATCTGTGAAGTGTTGGTGTTATTCCAGGTATAGTGAAGCACACCGTATAGCCCTGAGGCAACACAGGCAGAAAAAAGGTGGGATGGTTTGGTTAACGCTACTGAACCTATAGATAGTGTATACACACATGCAGAAGGGGGTTCCCAGAAGCAGATGGTGACTGAGGATATAGTTTACAGGAGTTGGAATGCATTGTGGGGGATTTATTTTTCTGTGAATGACTGCAATAGTGGTGTATTCTGATCTACATAACTGATTGTCTGTTTTGGTGTTGAAAACACGTGTGTCTGTTATGAACTGGGAGTTAAATGTCTGACCCCAAAATTTCTCTCAGCAGTATATTTGGAATAGATTATTTCCATTATTAACATTCCCACACAGGAAAAGCAGAGTTATAACTTGGATGATTATATTTTCTAAAACCTGTGCCTTCTCTGCAGAATGTGTTGTCTGCAATATGTAAGTATATACAGCTATGATATACATGTCTGATTGACCATGTCTTAATTTGAAGCTATGAATGAGAGAGATAAGGGGATGGAGATGCAGTTCTCAACATTCTTTCCATAGCAGACATAATATTAGGTATCAACAAGCACGGCCAACTGGGCACCATTTGGGTCCAGACACAATGCTGATCACTTGTTGAGAGTGTTCTAAGCTGTAGATAATTCAGTTAATCTCAATTACTGCAGCTCATTACATGGTCAGGTATCTGTTAACTCCTGACATAAACTATGACACTCTCTTGTTTTTTATACAAACAGTGATGAAGAAGAGACATTGGAGGGATGATAATGACTGTCAGGTTTTTGTTGTTGATGTTGTATTATGTGATATAATGGTATGAATTTATTGGTTGACATCTGTGAATTTCTCCAGCCAGGAATGAGGGAGGCATCTCTGGAATGAAGGAGTGATGTCCAGGTTTTATCTCTGTATAGTACCTCTCATATTGGGCAGAGGGTCGATACAAGTGCAGAGTGTTTGACCGAATTAGCATTATAAATAATACATTTGTATTCATTTTCAAATGCAGATTAAGTAACCAAAAAATATCATAAAACTAGAGAAGAATGTCCATTTTAAATTCTAGAAATATTAGAAAGATTTTTTTCCATAAAGAATTTTAAAATTTCATCAATTAATTTGGATATAATTTAATCTTAACACATAAGTATAATTATAGTCTTTGACACTCAGCAAACTCAGCCTCATATAACCCAGGTTGCTTACTTATTGGGAGATTACGTAAATTATTATACATTTAATCCAATTATATTTAATTTTTCTTAATAAATAAAAGGCATTTCACATGGTACACTCTTAAAACTTTCATACTGCATTTTATGGGATTATGAATCTCTCTTAATTGTGCTGTTCACATCTACAAAAGTTAAGGGGGTTCGAATCATTTGACTGTCTTATGAAGAGGAGTTTTCAAATGACTCTACAGATAATGAAGTCTTAAAGATGTTAGTTTGTAGCAGTTTGATTGATATGATGAGCTAAATTAATTTGTTTCTAATGAGATCAAACCTGGAAATTCTCTTGCCTGTGATGTAAATACAATATAATATTGAGATAAAACCAAAATCTCACTGCTTTGTATGTATAATTCATTTTAATTTTAATTTCCTGTTAAAATGGATGCAACTTCTTTTTCCTCCTAGCCAGCATTACAAGACATTGTACCAAAATTAAGTCTCTGAAAATATGATTATATATAGTTGTAAAAAACATTTTTGAAAATATCGCTATGAATTAAATTTATGGAATTCAATATCTCTTGTTATCTTGGAATACAGTTTTTTTTAGGTCACCTGAGTAAACTCAGGTGACCTATTGCTATCCGTTTTCGTCCGTCGTCGTGCGTCGTGCGTTAACATTTGAACATTTTCAGCTTCTTCTCTGCAACCACTGAACCAATTTCAACCAAATTTGGCAAAAAGCATCTATGGGTCAAGGGGAACAAAAATTGTGAATTTCATGATCCCTGCCCCCCTGGGGCCTGAGGGGTGGGGCCAAAACCACTAAAATTAATGCAATCTTTAAAAATCTTCTTCTTTACTCCTGGACATCAAGCAGTCAAACTGTTTGCATGATTGTAATCAGCAATGAGTCCTCTACCAAAATTGTGAAATTCATGGCCCTGGGGTCAGGGGTTCTAGTGCTAGGGCGGGGCTAAATAAGTAGGTAGTGAAAATGCATTATTTCTTTGAAAATCTTCTTCTCTGCTCCTGGGTATTAAATTAATCAACTAAGTACATAGTTATGATGAGCAAGAGTGTCTCTACCAAAATTGTGAATTTTATGGCCCCAGGGTCAGGGGTTCTGGTGTTAGGGCGGGGCTCTATTGATTATATAGTGAAAATACATGAATTCTTTGAAAATCTTCTTCTCTGCCCCTGGGTATCAAATAAACTAACTTAGTACATAGTTATGATGAGCAAGAGTGCCTCTACCAAAATTGTGAATTTTATGGCCCCAGGGTCAGGGGTTCTGGCGTTAGGGCGGGGCTCTCTTGATTATATAGTGAAAATACATGAATTCTTTGAAAATCTTCTCCTCTCCTCCCGGGTATTAAATAAACTAACTAAGTACATAGTTATGATGAGCAAGAGTGCCTCTACCAAAATTGTGAATTTTATAGCCCCAGGATCAGGGGTTCTGGTTTTATATAGATTATATAGTGAAAATACATGAATTCTCTGAAAATCTTCTTCCCTGCTCCTGGGTATTTAATAAACTAACTAAGTACATAGTTATGATGAGCAAGAAAGCCTCTTCCATAATTGTGTATTTTTTGGCCCCAGGGTCAGGGGTTCTGGTGGGGGGGGGGGGGGGCTCTATAGATTATATAGTGAAAATACATGAATTCTCTGAAAATCTTCTTCTCTGCTCCTGGGTATTTAATAAACTAACTAAGTGCATAGTTATGATGAGCAAGAATGCCTCTTCCATAATTGTGTATTTTTTGGCCCCAGGCTCGGGGTTCTGGTGTTAGGGCGGGGCTCTATTGATTATATATTGAAAATACATGAATTCTTTGAAAATCTTCAATTCTGCTCCTGGGTATTAAATAAACTTACTAAGTGCATAGTTATGATGAGCAAGAGTGCCTCTACCATAATAATGAATTTTATGGCCCCAGGGTCAGGGGTTAGGGTGGGACTGTATTGATTATATAGTGAAAATACATGAATTCTTTGAAAATCTTCTCCTTTGCTCCTAGGAAATAAATAAACTAACTAAGTACATAGTTATGATGAGCAAGAATCCCTCTTCCATAATTGTGAATTTTATAGCCCCAGGGTCAGGGGTTCTGGTGTTATGGTGGGGCTCTATTGATTATATAGTGAAAATACATTAAATCTTTAAAAATTTTCTTCTCTGCTCCAGGGTATTAAGCAGATGAACTACAAATATAGTTATGATGAATATAGTTATGATAGACAAGGGCCCATATCTTACAGAATTGTGAATTTCAAGGCCCCAGGGTCAGGGGTACCATAGAGGGGGGGCTGTACTTATATACTGAAAATGAATGAATGGTTTGAAATCTGCTCCTTGGTATTAATCAAATATCAAGGCCAAAGGGTCAGGGGTTCATGTATGGTAGGGGCACTACTGATTATTGCTGAATATTACTGATTAGTTGAAATGCATTTTTTCCCCTTACCCTGCGTATGGGTATTAAGTAAACAAACTAAGCAACTACTAAGTGTATTGTTATGATGATCAATGGTGCCTCTTTCAAAATTGTGAATGTCATAACATCTGGCTTAAAACATGAATCAAGTTTAATCACTGGAAAGTTGTTGCATAATGCTCAGGTGACCTATAAGGCCCATGGGCCTCTTGTTTTTCATGCAGTTTTCCTAGGTTGTTGAAAACTGATGTTTTGTTCTAATATTCTGGCTAAGGTATTGCCAGTGTTAAATCTCAAGTGTTTCCTCACTTTTCACTTTTAGGCCACAAATTTCCCTTCTCCAATGTTTAACAGCTATGTTTTAAGCCACAGGAAGTATAGAATATCTGAGAAAGCTAGGTCATAGCTAGACGTTAAGAAACAAGTTTTTTGGCTGTATGATAAATGGATTTACTAGTGATCTTGGTGATAGGGTCGAATTTCTCTGCTAACTGTTTTATGGGGCAATGGAATGACAGCTGTTTTGTGAATGCCATTCCCATTCGTTTGGGGGAAAAAGAGGAGGTCAGCTATGTACTGTAGAGCAATGATGATCTAGTCAAGGCTTGCTTCTCATAGGTTCCTCAGGAAAACTAAGATTTTAGCTCCTCCAATACATCTAACACATCACCATTCAGGCTCTGTCAAAGGTTAATCTACAAGTCAATCAAGAGTCAAAATATAATGATCAGAGATTATCAATAGGGTATAATGTTTGAAAAATGAAAAGGACATATTTTATATACTTTGCTGTAACCGAATTTAATGCATCCCTCTCATTTAAAATCAAAATAGTGAGTGAATGGTAGACATCTATGACCGAAGACTAATTGTTTTAACTTTGACAATAAGAGACATTTTAAATTGACTTTAATTATAGTTTATGTAACACATGGCGATTTTTGGCATCGTAGTAGTTGCATTTAGTTCAAGTCCAGTTAAAATGTTGGAACAGTATAAATTCCATCAAGCCTACCACTCCTAAATATATTATGGTATTTTCATCACTATAAGGTCTCAATACCATTTGAATTTACCAACAATATATTTACCCTATAGGCTAGCTATCTCTTTTGAAAAGACCACAAATGACTTGTGAGAAAATTTATATATGTGATTGCTTCTTTTTTCAGGCTACATGTATTATTAAAAATCATATGCTTCAATCTTTAAAAAATATTTAAAGGTTTCCTGTTCTTAATTCTTTTAGTCAATTAAATCTTATTTTAGGAGCAAATGTTAAACTTTAAGTAAATATTTTAGAAAAGACAAACTGATATAGGTGTTGTCTATCAGGGATACATGTATAAAGCAGTACAATTTTTAAGGTTTCCCATATCAAAAAATAATACAGAAAAGTATATTTTTAATATATTTTTAATACATTCATTTTTGTACTTTCTTAAAATAATACAGAAAAAATATATTATTTTCCTATCACAAAAAATTCAGTATATCATTTTTGTATTAAAATTTGACTTTGATTTTGTACAGTATATTATTTTTGTATTTTTTTGGACTTAGATTATTTTCAGTGTATTATTTTTGTATTTTTTCAGGACTTATTTTTTTCCACATGTATTTTTTCTGTATCAAATTTGAACTTAGTAATTTTACAGAAAAGTCTATACAGTTAGACTGTATCATTTCTGTATTAAATTTGGACTTAATAATTTTACAGACAGTTTGTCTGTATTATTTTTATATCAAATTTAGACTTAGTAATTTTACAGAGTTTGTCTGTATTATTTTTATATTAAATTTGGACTTTGTAAATTTATAGAAAAGACCTTACAGTTAGACTGTATTATTTTTATATTAAATTTGGACTTGGTAATTTTACAGAAAGACAGTCAGTATTTTTTGTATCAAATTTGATTTTAGTACATTTACAGAAAATTCCATATATTTGGTCTCTATTTCTTTTTGTTGTTAGGGGGGGGGGTTAAATTTAGACATATTTTCTATTTACGTTTGTCTCTATGAACTTTATAAATTTTAGAGAAATTCCTTGCAAAATGTCTGCTGCTTTTTTTTATAAGTTTATAGCATACCCGGTACTTAGAAAATTTTTATTATATATTTTTTTCAGGAATCTTGGTATCCAATTATATAGAACTTAAATAATTAATTGGTACTAAAATTTATGTTAATCTCAATCAGTGGTAATCCAGAGAAATATTTCCGTCTTGGGCATGAAGACTTTACAGCGGGTTTACATTGACTTTTCAGCGGGTTTACATCTTTCACGTGTTTACATCTATCACACAACAGGTGGTCTTGCAGGCTAACAAATGATTGCATCATACTACAATTCAGAAATTACGTGATTTACCTGTGCACATGGAAAGTCCCAACTAGCTATTACCATGCATACGATGTTTTCTTCAGATTTTAGTATATATGTGCATTTTTTTTCACTCAGAGCAGGAATCATATTCAAATTATCCTAAATAACTTTCAAGAAATGAGCTGACAATGTTCAAGTCTAGAAAGGGATGTGCAAGTAGTAGGTTTCCTAATTTAAATTATCAGTGTGTTTAAGATAGATATTTACACTAGAGAAAGTTAGCTGAAACATGTGCAAAAATTATTAAAGTTTGGAAGTATTAATTTTTTAAACCTGCTTGGACTGTGTTATTTATGTAGTAGTACAGTCAATTTAATTATTCTAGTAGTTGTAATGTAAGATGGTTTTATTCAGATAAAATATCAGTTTTTCTTCAACTCTGTGTTTAATTCTACTCTCAGTTTAAAAAAAAAACGATCCTGATGTTAATTAGCTAATAATTTACAAGTTAATTATCTTTGATCTTGGGCTAATTCTTGCATAATCAATGCAATCAAATGACAGTTTCTCAAGTTAAATCTTCTACCCTGACAGCCTGAGGCATGTTAATTAGCCAGGTGGCTGTGTGCTTGTGTTCAAGCGTGAAGTGATTTCCTGTCGTGAATTCACACTTGGTTGCGTTATGTAAACAAGAGATTATCAGTATGCACTGAATAAACAGAACAGCTAAGGAATATTGCCTACACTGGGAATATTTATTAATTTTTTGTTAGGAAAATAGGACATGGCGCCGAGAAAAGGGGGCATGGCTCTGTGCCTTGCTATTTTGCTTTAGATTTAACACTAAATTGACCCTTCTTCTTGAACTTTATGGTCTATTATACGGGTCAACTTGTATACTAGTGATTAAAAAAACAAAAACAAAACAATATGGCTGACCAGAAATCTTTCTCATCTGTAATCGGAAAATTTCTTAAAAACAAAAATAACGATTATAAGAAATGATTCCTAATAATTATTCTAGTAATTATCAAGGGTTTATTATATTGATTCCATATTACTTATTAGACTTCGTACATAAGTAAATTTCCTTAGACTGTTAAAAATATTTTATATTTAAAAATCGGCAATCTTCGTAAATAAGGAGCTATTTGATTGGTCAGATTTTAAAATTTTTCTTTGCTTTTCTCTGATTGGTTAACGGTAATTTACCCACGCCATTTTGAAAAATAGATCGACGAACCGAATTGAGAGAGTTGGTGATGTTTAATAAAATTTAGCTAATATTCGCCGATGAAATTGGTAGAAAATAGATGTTTAGCTACAGCATGTTAGCATGGATCACATTTATAAACAAAGAAAAGCGAAAACGGAAGGAGGTTGGCGTTTTTCAAGCATCATGCCCTGGCTTTCCTGGTGTAAACAACGCCATATGCGGTAAGAATTTACATAAAATAGCACAGTAGTTTCAATTTTTAAAATGTGAAATGTAGATTAATAAATGTTATCTTTTATAAACAATTTATAGTAGGTCAAATTAAATGCAGATATATTGGATTTGTGGCGAAAGAGAGTTTTGTAATGCTACTTTCTATCTTGAATTGTATGGATAATTACGGGCTTTCAATGGCAAATGATATTATTTACATGGACCAAAAATGACTTAAAAATTAATTTAACCCTATCCCTCAGGCCTAAACATGGAATAATAACAGATAAAATCATCTTGGCATACAACCATTCAAATTTTGAAATGTGAAGGGGGGGGGGGGGGTAATCATTGCAACTAAACTTCATGGATTTATGGTTTAGCATACTTATAATTTATTTCAAAAATGACTTGAGAAGAAGGTGATAAGAAAGATTTTTTTGGCACAAACTAATTATTTTTTATATCAATATATGATGATCTGTATTTCCCTTGCCCAATATCACTTTAAGATTTCAAATCAAATGACCCCCCCCCCCCAATAAAAGGGGGGGGGGGATAATGGCTCAATTTGTAGAATATTTTGCCATGAAAAATTCCAATCAGGTGTATTGGCAGTTTTATATTTTCATTTTTTAATGCTCTGTATTTCTATCCGTTCTGCAAAACATTTATCAGCATCATTACTTTTACAGTTTGAGTGCCTCTGCAGAGCCATAGAAGAAAAGCTGATTAGTTATAGAGGAATAGGACACCCACCCCTTGAGGCATTACAGGTGTGTAACATTGACAATATCAGCTAATCATGTGAAGATTTCTTTTTGTGTGTGTCTGTGCATCTAATTTTGATACACCTCGGTACTTTTTGATATTCTATTTTGTAGATTATGCAGGACCAAGCAGGATGACAGTGAGAAAACTGGAGATGTACTTCTTCAACAAAGTAAAGTGCTGTGCAAAAGAAACCCCAAAGCAGAGAGAAGATCTAGACTTTTGAATTCATATCTCATTATAAATGTACAATTTACAAAGACAATAAGATTGATAAAACATGACTTAGAAATGAGGACAATTGAAGAGTGAATACTGTATGTAAGACAGAAAAGATCAAGATAATTGCACAAAAAGTAACTAAATCAGTAATCTAAAGACATTTCTTTTTTTTGTATTTTTCAGAATGTATTATTTTTAGATTTTTTTGTTTTAAATGCGATTTTAATACAGAAATAATAGACTGATACAAAATTAATACATTTTGTATTATTTCCCTATTTTTTTTTTCAAGGTGCTCCAAATAATACAGAAATAATAGACTGATACAAAATTAATACATTTTGTATTATTTTCCTATTTTAATTTTCAAGGTGCTCCAAATAATACAGAAATAATAGACTGATACAAAATTAATACATTTTGTATTATTTTCCTATTTTTTTTTTTCAAGGTGCTCCAAATGATACAGAAATAATAGACTGATACAAAATTAATACATTTTGTATTATTTTCCTATTTTTTTTCAAGGTGCTTCAAATAATACAGAAATAATAGACTGATACAAAATTAATACATTTTGTATTATTTTCCTATTTTTTTCAAGGTGCTCCAAATAATACAGAAATAATAGACTGATACAAAATTAATACATTTTGTATTATTTTCCTATCTGTTTTTTTCAAGGTGCTCCAAATAATACAGAAAAAATACATCAAGTGTATTATTTTTGTATTTTTACTGAGAAATAAAGTATATTAAAAATATATTTTTTTGTGTTTCATTTCTAAGAAAGTGTATTATTTTTGACCTAATTTGGAACCAAGATAAAAAGGGTTCCAAATTTGGTCATTAAAAATATACTTTTTTTCTATCATTTTTGTATTATTTTAATCTATTATTTTTATATTTATTTTCGATATGGGTTGTGTACCACATACTTGGAG